TATTCTTTTTTTCCGTTCCGCCGAACTAATCCGCCGGCTTATCTTCAGCTTGCAGTAGAAAGCTACCAGATTTCGTTCGACATTAAAAAATGTTCGCTAATAGTTGGTGGATAAAGTTGGATTTTGAATGGAGGGGTTTTATAAGGGGTTCGTCGGTAGTCAATGAACCTCGTAGGTCGAAACCGCGACCTACCGTAGGGGTTGTAAAGTTGTCGAATGTTTCTACATTCAATATTTCATGTCTTACGTCATTTTTATTTCTTGAAGATTTCGCTCAAGTATTACAATAGTTTTAACCGAGATTTTGTTGCGTTTTAGTCAATTCTTATTTTAATTTTTAATTTATTACAAACTCACTTAATTTCTCAGCATAATATGCACTGTAATACACACTATAGAGTACCTACCTACTTCAAAGTTTACATAACACAACCAAATTAAATACACTACATTTTTCACGAAATCTCTTTATTGATTTACTAAACCAGTGTCGTTTTTTAATTCGATCGGATTATCTCAATTAGTATGCATGTCCGTGTCTACACGGCCGAACGGGTCACAATCGATTAATTTTAAATCTTTTAAGTGGGGTATTCTTCGAGAACTGGATTGTTCACTCAACTTATCGCTTGCAATGGGAAAATATTGTTTATTTGCAAAACCTAAGGGATCAAAATCCTGTGATTTATTTTTTTGGATATTTTTTTTTTATTTGAATTACAATTCTGAATGTGTATTTCTTTTATTGAATTCGATCGTGATTTTGAGTGAATAAAAAAGGCGATAGTTGCAATTATTGCTTAAAAAATGTTTAACATAATATATGCGTATTATTTTTAATGAATTAAAAACGTAGATGCAGTTATTATTATTATAATTAAAAAAAAGTCAAATCTATTTCTTTAAGGTTTTGACCGAGCCAATACCTGTTTGGTCGAGACCGTAGCTGGTACCTTCTACCCTGTAACGGTGCTAGACTTTACTTATGTATATCTTTAATTATTGGATATTCAGAAAAAAAAATGTAAACAAAAGTAAAAAATATCTTATATGTTACTCATATTTATCTCGAAGCTCGTTATGTTGGATATAAATATTTTATTCCCGGATTAATCCCGGCCGGGAATAATCCGGAGTGGACGAGTACAAAAAGAGATAAGCCACTAGTACGATTAAGTGTTGAGTTTTTGTAACATTTCCATTTTATTATTACCTACGTTGGCATATTATCAGCCAGATGGTATTGACCGGATAAAGTATAAAGGTTACGGATAAAAAAACGGGTTTTTTTTCGTTTCAGTCATCCGTGTCTTGTATGACCTAGTTGTTTTTGACATAATTACGTTATGAAAGTTGCTATAAGGAAAAATATAAACTAACAAAATTAAGGAACTTTATGCTCTCATACAACCATTGTATGTAAATATGGAAATGATTTTTGACCTCATAAACTATTTTGTTGTAGTATACAGTACCAAAAAGGTCGAATAGATAAAGATTCACAACGACTGACCAGATTAGTGGCAATAAATTATAAGCACATCATTTAATAACAAGGAAATAAATGACGAAATAACGAAGTAAAATTACATAAGAAATAATTATAAAACATTGTAAACATACATAGATAAAGGTATTGTGATAAAAAGCAGAACAATTAAAGCTTCACAATTAAAAAAGATTTACACAAAATCAAACGCAAGTGAACGATGTCGAAAACGTCAAAGTTTCTAAAGGGTGAAAGCGTATAGAATGCGAGGCGATGCTGCGTTCAATACGGCTTAGTAACTACTTCGGAAACATCGGACAGGTTACCACATCGCGTAGCATTCCTCTCACACTACCCCACGAACCTTACACACTCATACATCTCCCCACTACCTAATCATAGAAATAACATGAAATATCTCAGTAATTACGGACAATATTTTCATCCGGCAAATGGTACGGCTCTCTTACGGTTTTTGTTTACCGTCTCCGTTTGATGTTGACGTTTTATCCAATAACGTTGATGCTACAACGTGCTTTTATGGTACATGGAGTTTCCTTTAACACGTGAAGAATATCAATTGATTAGCCTAATGTAATAACATATATAGGATGATTCATCACGGTGTTTTCGATCAGGTTCCTGTCGGCTCCTTTTAGCTTTTATTACTTCTGTATTAAGGTTGCGATTATCATAATGGCTATTCGAATCCAGGTAACAAAGGCGTGACGTCATAAAGTAGGCCAGGATTATGTTGTTCCATACATGAATCAGTTTTATAATGGAGTACTTGGAAATCGCCGCCGGCTTGCGGTCTAGCTTAGGCATAGAAAAAAACTTCCTGTACGTGACGTCTGAGCTAAGGATGGTTGTATAATGTTGCGTTTATATTGTTCTATATGCCAATCCTGTGTACTAATGGCTTTTAAGAAATAATAAAATTCGCAACTTGTCATTCAACTGAACGATTTCGGAAGTCTTTTAATGAAAGCAGGTTTATCACAAAGTCTACCGCGACACTCAATCAGTTCCCATTCGTGAAACCAATTTTAATTCGCCGTCAATATTAAACCTACTTAAAATAGATGAATTTCGCATCACTCATATGAGCACTATCATTGTATGAATGGTGTTTCCCGGCTCGCTCGCTCCGCGGTCCGCGATCCGATCCGCCCGTGCCCGCTTAAGCCAGATTTCAATAGAGTATAATCTCACCCTAATGAATCTCCAATCCGGATTACTGAGGGGCCCCTATAATAGACGAGCGACGTCCATTGCAAACGAGTGGGATTTAGTTTAGAAAAAAACTTTGATTAGTCTACTTTGAATACCGAGAGCAGATTAATATTTCTTAAGGGCTTATCATACCGCTCCACATTTGCTTTGTCTTCTGTGCCAAGACCATTATAATAGCTGTAGCTCATCGAGACGCGTCAAGGAACTACGTCTTAATTCAGACGTCTGATTCCGTCCAATAAATTGTAAAGGCCGCACGACACTCGGCTAATCCCATTGGCGGGCATTAGAACGGCTTTGTGCGGACAGATCGCGCTCGCACGCCGAAATTACCTAGCAATTGGTAGCCGCGCCGAATTGCCAGCGGGCTCAGTCTAAATCGGCTGCAGACACTTTTATTGCCCGGCGAAATCCCGCTGACCCGAGCTCGAGCCGATCCCGGCTTCCGTTTTATCCCGGCCCCGCTTAATCCCGGATTTGACGTCGCTTAATCCGAACCCGTGTTGGATATCGCGTCGACACAGGCCTCACCCGCACTCTTGTTTCTATACTCTCCTATATTGATTTCGGATTTCACGGCGCACCTTCATTGAACTCGCATAAAAGCACGCGTAAACAAAGCGAGCGCGGACCTTTTGAGGATTACCTCGACGCGCACGGTATAATAACAAATTAATAATAATATATTTTTATTATGATGAAATAATTCAATCGAGACAAAAATAATCCATAACTATCGCACTGACACGGGATTATGGAGCGCGAAATGCATCGCATTCAGATATTTGGACTCAATGATATAAAATTGTATGCAAAAAATGAGCAGATTAATTTGTGTTTTCATTGGGTGGTGCGTTATGCGAAAAATTGAGCGGTCGGGAAGCAAATGAAAATGATCGCCTCGTATTATTTTATTCTCGATGGCTTGTCGTTGGCAAAGTGCACTACCTACTTACCAACTCGGACTGAAAACTCTGTTAGTGCATTATTGATGCAATTTCGCTTTGTTTACAGTGAATAGAATTTAAGTTACATTCGCTCGTTGCCTATTCTAATGTACTTTGACTATATTTGCATAAATCATTATACAAAATGTACGTTGAAAAGATGATGACATTAAACAGGTACATTTGCGTGCACACGCCGCACAACGGATTTGCCAAAACACATAATTATATTTCGCGTTTAGAAGCCAAAATTATATTTGATGGCAAAGTGAATAGTCGACTATTTCCCATTTTAATGGGGATTATAGTTTCTAGTGCATTTAGTGCACTTCGCGCGGTAAAATTAATTACTAAATCGAGTCTGTCTGCGTGCTTTAATAATACTATTCGTTTGAAAGCCTACCGCGCGTACAATTTCAGTAATCCCACCTTTTGACTGACGTTATAAACTCTAATAACATGGTTCTATTGCTGTTTGGGGAAGTCATTAGACAGTAATGAATAGGGTTAATGGAAATGAATAAATATTACAATGAAGGACATTTATGTTACAAATTTTTCGTAGAGTTTTGTATTTGAGTGATATTTCGTAGCACTTTGCTACGAGGGTCTACGAAGTTTTAACAATCTTGATTGATCCGTGTGTTGATCCCTGTGGCTTTATTTGTCCTTATTTCTTGCTTCTATGTTTATTACTATTTGTCTCAATAGTATAGATACTGTGTTGGTAGCACCTATACTATTAGATATTTTAATAAACCTAGATTTATGGAGACTTTAGTATTAAGAACCTAATTGAGGAAATGAAGTTTAAACCAAAATTACTTGATTCGATAGGCCATAAGCTGGCTTCTAAAAATATTTTGAATCATTAAGATATTTGACCAAGGAATATATAGAATGTTTTTTTTTACCGAGGTTGTTACGATAATAATCCTTTCTATGTAATATTATGTATTTATGTTGTCTGTGTCGTTGACTTGACTGCCTCGTTGGCCTAGTTGTCGCAACTGCCGGGCAAGGGGTCTTGGGTTCGATTCCCGGGTCGGGCAAAGTACACTGGGTTTTTAAAGATTTTCAGTAGTAGCACAGGGTCTGGTATTTTGCCCGGTATGTGGTAATATGTTCACCCCCTATTACATGGGCCTCATGACATAAATAGTGAAACGTGGGTGTTACATTGTACAGTAGCATAATGTGCACCTCTGACTACCCCTTTGGGGTAAAAAGCGTGATGTTATCTATGCTATGTTGTGTGTGTTTCTTTCTCTTATGTGTTTATATTTCTTTCTTTTTTGTGCTTATTCGTTCTTCTTCTTTCTTTCTAGATAAAGTGAGGAGACTGGAGAGTGATAAAGGCTACTTTTCCGAAGAGTCTACAGGTAACATAGTTCATTAAGTATATTTCGATATTGCATTGGCAAATATAGCAATTTGCGTCTCAAATCATAATGACCATTCGTGGCAACAACTAAACATTAGTACAATATAGACGATAATGCCGCTAAGTCCTCGTTCACACTGGCTGGTATTATGGCACGACGTTAATTAGTCGCTGGCGGTCGCAGCCTAAACAAGCTTTTAACTTTTCAAATGGTTTCATTAACTGCATTGCGATTATTTGGTCGCATTCCCTCTACTATTGATTTAGAATGGACGCATTAGCGACTTTGTTAATGCGGCTTTAGTTGATCAATTTATTTAAATGAGTTAAAAGCTGTTATTAGTGTAACGTAGTGAAATGTTCGCGTTATTTTGAATGGTTTCTATGTGTGTGTCTGTGTGTGTTTTGGTTATACGTTTTTAGTGGTTAGGCATTATTGTGTTTTAGTGGATTATGTATTGAAGTAGGTACCAATGTTGGTAATATTCTGAAAAATCTTATATCTTATACTGTTATATAAAGCGGAAGAGTTTGTTTTTTTTATTTGTTTGTTTGAACGTGCTAATCTCCGTATCTACAAGTCTGATTTGAATCATTATTTTTGTGTTGGATAGCGCATTTATCGAGGATGGCTATAGGCTATAAAACATCACGCTACGACCAATAGGAGCTGAGCAGAGCGTGTGAAAAACCGCAGAAGTAGCTAGTATGTATATAAATGGTATGTCTCTCGATGTTGGGAAATAATATCGATTCCTAAATTGGCTTAAGTTTCATTACCTTTAAGAAAATATGATAGGATGCAGATGGCGAGTTTTCGTGTGACGATAAGGACTAAGTGACCAGTAGCCCGATTCACGTAATAAAAACCGTCGCGATATCGTAGCGACTTAATCGTTTAAGTCCTTTTCGTATTCACATACATCAGTCGCGTTCGATCGACACCGATTTTGAAGTCGTTCGATCGAAGTGTCGTTGAAGCGTATTCAGCTATGTAAATCGTCTTTCAATCGTTAATACGGTGGTATTCACGTAAACAAACGATGTTGGAACGGGTCGGCTATCAACGACTAAACGTCAAATTTGACGGTTGAAATGTCGTTGAAGTGTCGCTGAACAGAAGTACGTTTGTTTTGACTTCATTGTAACTCAGCTATTAATTTAATTTTATACGAACGAATTTTGGGGATTTTCGGTACAAAAACTCCAGTGATTAAACAAAAAAATGAGTCTCGGGCTAGGCCTGTTATTATTAGATGCAGCTAAAAGAGAACATAGACGAATGGAGCGAGTAAGGAGAAACAGACTGAGGTGTTCTAGATGGGATGCCTTTGAAATGCCAGACAGAGATTTTATGCATTTATTAGACATTTCGCCTTTCTAAGATCCTTGTCCACGATATTATTGAGGATATTACACCTCTAATAGAGAGAAATCGAAGGCAAGACGGTTTATTAGTGAAAGAAAAGGTTTGTCTCAACTTGTGTGCTTTTTACACTTAAATTTTATCTCATTATATTTATCTACTTAGAATCTAATTTTGTTTTTTCAGTTACTGCTCGCCTATCATTTTTCGCATCTGGTTCCTATCAGACTCTTGTTGTGTGGTGATCATGAAACGAGATATATTATCACATCCCACCGCCTTCGATTTAATGGATAATATTACCTTACCGATCTCTTCAGGTGCAACTGGAATAAATTGAAAAGAATTGCTAGTATTAGAGCCCGTCATACCAGAAATGAAGGCCAGTGTCTGTTGTTCAGTATACTGATCTAATGTGTGAGTCGAGGAAAAGTGACGATTCAGATCATCTAATCCAACTGAAACCGAGAAGTCAGAATTGCGCGATCTGCCAATACCTAGAGTTCCAAGGAATTTCCAGATGTTGGCAGAAGACTCAGAAGTAATGTTTTCAAGAATGTGGCGGCTTTTAGCATTGCGTATCATCTGATTGCACCTATTTATCTGAATTATACTGGTATTATACTGATTTCAGTTATCTAAATCTAATTGAAATGCAGAGCTTGAGTAAGTTCAAAGTTTAATAAAAAAAAGGTTATTAGTTTAATTATAAATATAATGTAATCAGTCTAATTAACAATTATAATACTTATTAAATAAAACAGTAGTGTCATTTTGTTTTAAAATACAAAACTATGGTCATCGTCATCACTGCTCTGAGATTGAGCCCGTTTGTATTCACTCGTTTCTTGTGTGTCATCACATTGTCTTTTCTGTAAAGATTCAAAAAATTTTAATTTGCATTAAATATTAATATTATTTTTATAACTGTGTCTTATTTTTAATTCATCGTCATCTTAGCGTTAATCTACACTTCGATATTATTCATCGCGGTCAACGGCGATGCCGAAGCAATGCAGCTAGATCAATTGTCGGACTGCTCCAACAACCCGAATTTGTATTATCACAATGTAATTTTTGGTTACTTACATTTCCCTCTTGGCCACCCTTGAAAATATTAACTAAGGCCCAAGCTGCACTGGCCACATTATTTATGGCGTTAACCTTGTTTTTTTCGATTTTATTGCGCTCGAGCTGGACCTGTATTTGTGACTTGTTTAATTCTAGTCGAGCTTTTTCTAAATCGGCTAAAACAGTTTTCGCCTTTTCTACTTCTGTATCTGAAAGTAATATTACAATGTTTTTAACAAATCATATTATTTAAATTTGTTTATACATCAATAAACAAGGTGTATCTGTACCTTTAGGATCCCTCCTAGATATTCTCTGGCTTTTACCCTTTTTTATATTATTGTGGAAACTCATATTACTATTTAATGTTTCAGTTCTGGAAATATAAATTGCATTAAATTAACACAATAGTATGTTCTATAAAGTTCAATATTTTATTATTCATAATTATATGAAGAGTGTATAACTTACTTAGCTTTGTCTACAGGCACATTAAAACTTGAAGAAGTTGATGGCTGGATGTCATCAATTGTAGTATTCTCATTCCTAAAAAATCAAAGTGTTAGAATTTATTTTTATGTTCTGAAAATATGTATTGTGTTGAATGTTTATTTTTTATTCGACATTTATAGTCGTTATTAAACTGAGAACAAAACCAACATATAATATAACATATATTATTTCAATGGTATGGTATTTCGCGTTAATTACATGCTATGCAAGAAGTGTACTTACTTTATTCCATTCTTTCGCTGACCTGTACATGGAAGGGTCTGCTGTTTCGCTATTCAATATTGACGCTAGCTCGGTCCACAATTTAGTGGACAAAATATTCTTCGCTTCTTTGCCTCGGACCCGTCCCAGTGCCAACATTCTATGTTTCTCCATAAAATCTACCAAGAGTTCTAGCTGCCTTACAGAAACTTGCTTCATTTTAATTATATTTTAATTTTTTCAAACTTTGCCGGTGATTGACAGTTATTTGACAAGTAATGCAGAGACAAATTATAGACTTTCCTTTTTAAACCGTGGTTTAGTGGTGAAATTATATTTTACTCAACAATTTACATTAAATGTTTATTAATATTGTTTTTAATTCCATTTATTTAATTGTTATGACGTAAATCAGATTTTTTTAAACTTAAATCTGTATTTTAATATTCTGGTAGAAAACATAATTGTTTAACTGGCAATGAAACGTTGATGAATCGTTTAGTTGTCGTTTAGTTTCGAGTCAGTTTAATTGTCGTCCTATCCAACCCCGATTATAGAACACGTGAATACCGATTTCGGATAGGACTTCGATCGAACTATGATCGAGCGACTATAAAACTTCAACTGTTTGATTTTACGTGAATTAGGCTACAGGAGTACGCGTCATCCGGCTGTTGATAATGATAATAGGATGCATAGCAAAATATCAAAGCAAATTAGAAAAATGTATTAAAAATATATTCAACAATACGGTAACTTTTTAATGGTCACCGTAGGTTCTAGATAACGGTGCAATAATCCAATATCCTAACCACAGTTTAGATGTGAGTTTGAAACAGGGTCTATTGCGTTGAACGAAACTTTTTGTTCCCCATACAAATTAAATTTAGCTTACAACTTTTGTCTGGGACCAGTTTTACATAACATAACATCACGTCTTTTATCCACGATGGGGTAGGCAGAGGTGAACATTATGCCAGTGTTAAATGTAACACCCACTTTTCACTATTTATGTTATGAGTATGAGACCCATCTAATAGGGGGTGAGTCTATTGCCATATACTGCGCACAATTCCAGACTCCGTGCTACTACTGATAATTTTTGAAATCCCAGTTATACTTTGCCAGACCCAGGAATCGAACGCAAGACCCCTTGCCCGGTAGTTTTGTTTTAACTAAACCTAGCCAAGCACTAAATATTTATAATTATGTAGTTCTTACTAATGGTTGGTATGTAGGTATTACAGGATACGTAGATATTTGAATTTCTTTTTATAAGATTATTATGTTGCTGTGACTATGCCAATACGTAGCCTTTAGTTCAACAATCGGTAAAAATAATTTTGGTTAATTTAATTTGCATAATTTTTTTTTGCATTTATTATATTATTTCGTAGATTTATTATCGTAGATTCATTTCGTTTACGATTACGTTCTGCTTGTGTGTTATGAGTCAATTAGTTTTAAATAAATAATTGAAACCAAATCTATTAAGAAAGAACTTCATGTAGTAAATTGTACGTAATTACCTAAGTAACACAATTGACCAAAAACCAACACAAATGCTATTTATTAAAAAAAAACAACAAAAGAAAAAAATGTATTCAAAAATGGAAACAGTTCAAATCACAGCCGGGTTCTAAATATAAACAAAATAATGTATACAGATAATATATAGATACGTGAGTGTCTTATAGACGTACCGGGCCTAATCCGCGCCCATCCGCAGAGCCGCAAGACGCTTGTTGCTTGCTCGTGGGGCTTCCTAGCCCGGACAAACTGATACACAGACAGGCTAAATATCTACTTATATTTGTTACAAACATTACTAAAATCATTCATCTAGA